TACATTTTCCTTAAGGAAATATTAATGTAAAGAAACTTAGATGAAGCACTAAGTAAAAAGTTTGGTATTTAAGCTGCCAGGAAGAAATACCCATTATTCCTCAACATAGTATCAGCTCACTGTAAGAATTGATCAAAAGAAATAGGTTTTCACAACATTTATATAGGAAGTCAAAAAATACTTCAAATATTTTGGGAAATTATCTAATCAGTGTACTTTTAGCATATGTCTAATCATGTAGCCATCTTTGGTCAATCATCAAAAAATCAAAGGCAAATTGGCATGACTCAACTCTAACTTTAATACCGCATGATTGTGCCCTGTAAGCTTGTTTTGTGAGAGCGGCTGTGGTTTTAGCAGAGAGATTAACTACCGGACCTAAGCTGGCCTCCAAACCTTGCCCTGCTGATGCCTCCGGCTCTTTGAAGTCTGACCATCATACCTGGCAAAATAACAGTGGGAACTAGGACGGTGTCAGATCTAATCAAATTGTTCGCTGCAGCACAGTTAACTATGGGGTTCACTAATTGGCCCAATTGAGGATTATACCTTTTGCTACAGATTCACAACAATAATTTAGTTAAATGATGTCCCCCCCTTATCTCTTCTAATTAAGATTCCAAAGTTGGAAGAAATAGGATTAGACAGAGCCTCACAACTGTGTTCCTTTTAAGGTGGCATGCACTTTGATAGGTCCAGTATGGCAATGTAAAATAGATGTGGTAAGAATTAAACCAACTTCTTGAAACTCGGAGAAGCTGTGACACTGGCGTATGACTATATGACTTAGGAATTAAAGTGAAAGTAAGGGTATAGTACACCTACAATGTGAACATATAAGATTACATTCTGTGGTTATAGAATGTTAATTTTTATTTGTGTATGTGAGTAGGCATGCTCTTGCAGGTATATTCACCTTGTAGATACATGTGGAGGCCAGATGGTAATGTTAAAGCATTTTCCTCGATTGCTTTGCTGCCTTATGTTTTGAGACAGGGTCTCTCAGTAAACCTGGAGCTCACTCTTTTGGCTCGATTGGCTGGCCAGTGAGCCTCAGGGACCCGTCTGTCTCTGCCCTCCCAGTGTTGGGGCTACAGGCATGGATGGCCACATCTGGCGCTTCTACATGGCTGGGGACCAAAATCAGGTCTTCATCCATACGCAGCATGCACCCTATCCACCGAGACATTCCTTTCCCTTGTTCACTTGTTAAAAGCCCTTTTATTCAGATGAACAGAAACCTATACTCAATATTTTAGTTTTGACAGTGATAGTATACTTATGAATACAAGCTAATTTAAACAATAACCAATGTTTATCAAGCACAATAATGTCTAAAAATTATTTTAGACTATATGGTCCATGATACTACCCCTTAAAAGAATTTCCAAGTATTTCAGTGACTTTATTATGAATTGATAGGCAAGTTTCCCTTCTGTCTCTTCGTCTTTGGGTATAGTAAACATATTTCACCCTTCTACTTATCATTAAAAAACTGGAAAGGCCACAGAAAGTAAACCTAGAACTGATGATATCATGCAATAATCTGAACTGTTAAATTATCACAATGATTAGTAGCCTGTGGGACTTTATACTTTGTAAAATGTAAACATTTTAGATAATTCTATGATGTTACAACAAGGTATGTTATTGTCATGTTACCATTAACCTAGTTTACAGCAATACCACAAGCAATTTTGGTATTAATAGTTAAGAATGAATCTACTCAGTATGTACACGAAGAATAGCTAGTTACAATAGCAGGTTGGCCAATTATTTTGTGAGAAAAGCCTTGGTGATTGAGAGTTGCTGAGGTCTCAGATTCTGAACTGGGTACAGGTATCATAAGGCAATCTTGAATAAGCTCAATTTGCTTTGACAGTCTCTGCTCTCAATACCCAGCCTATAAGACCCAGATACACTAATTATTATCTGACCTCTGGACTAGCTGAAACCTCTACAATTGTTCTTTATCTATTTATTGAACATTTGTAGTTACAGGATATTCCTTCTGTGAGTTTCAGCACAACTCAACTTATTGTGCCATAAGGAGGAAATATTTTGTAATAATAATATAGATGCTGAAACTAACATAGTGATTTATTATCACTTGTTAGAAAATTAACTTAGTAGAATGTGAAAGCTGAAGTTATAAAATTAAAATACATTCATGTAAAATGTTATTTCTATCATATCATCAAATTCAATGCAGCCACATTTCAAATCCCAGCAACTATTTATGATAAGTGCATCACAGTTATAAAAAAAGTTAGTTAATAATAATACCAACATTATAAAAGAACAACTGTCACATTGGCAGTCAAGTTCAGTGCTAAGGCCACTACAGGATCACAAATCCTAGAGAGTGGAGTTTATGTGGTTGGTGCATAAAGCTTTATCACTTGGGCCACTTCAAGATTCCATTTATAATTCCTCTACACAGCACACATTCCAAAAGATACACAGATCTGCCCAGGACACAACAGAGCTCTTCAAGCACAGGGATACCGTGTCAGCACTTGTAGACAGGATTCTGCTGTGTTTCTCACATGGGGTTACAGCTGTATAGTTACATGAAACTGTAATAATTTATTGTTATAAATGATTCCCTCTGAATCAGAAGTATGTGAATGAGTATCAATACATACTCCAAGAAGGAGATAATAACATTCTGTCTTTGAGTCACTCAAAGTTGGAAAATACTGGAGTTGCTTAACCTGTCATACACAAAGGCCAGTGGGTAAACAGGCTTTAAGAGAACCCATCCGCTCTTTGCTTCTTGTCTCCATCCACCCCTCCTTTGTGACTCAGGAACATTTTGACTTCAGGAACATCTCAATATGTAATAACTAAATCTGCTTGTGTGAAATCAGAATAGTTCCTTGTGCCTTACCCCCCAAACCAGGCTTTGCTTCTGGGAATAACACTCAGATTCAATGCGCAGGGCATTACCACCTCAGACTTTTCAGAGGAATATAACTTGAATTTTATTTTAAAAAGAATGTCAGAACATTAAAAAGACTTATGTATTTCTTTGACATTTAAAATGGCTTTTACCTGAATCTTTATTTAATAAGCCTCCAAATCCTCACTGGTTAGAGCAAACCAAATTGACAAAGGACTTGATTGACTGTGCTGAATATTAACTCCTTAAAAAGGTGACTTTGTTATTGTTTGTTTTCAAATACTGCTCCCAAGACACAGGGCGACAATTATGATTCTTTTAGTTTTGTGTAGTACAAGAAGCCTGTGTGGCTAAACAGCATTCGCTATTAGAACTTATGGCTACTGAAGGGAGTGGTCTCACTTGACATTACACAGGTCCTGCATTGCCCCTTTCTATGCTCCCCATGAGACACTGTGAGCAAGGCCAGGGACAGGATTCACATGATCATCCCACCTTGGGCACAGTAACTTTTCCACTGAGGAATTCTTGCTTAATTTTCACGTAATAGAAATGATACCTTAGACTTGCTTTTAAAAACATTTGAAACTTTGGAAGAGTATCATGTAGAGAAAAAAAATTTATATTTGAAACATAAAAAAATGCAAGCATACTTTTGCCAAACAATATGCTAAAATCTAGTTCTCTAAATGTTTTAAAACAGTAGTCACTCAGTATTCCATCAGAAAAATAAAGACAATGCTGGCCCAGTTACAGTCTTGGGTTCTATTTCAATTGTTTCTTTTGAGTAGTAAAGCAAATTAGCTCAAGAATCACTATTTCTACACACTCCTATTTGGGCTTTAAGTGGCTTTTGTAGGGAGTATTCCCCAGATGAGGAACTTCTAACACTCCTGCAGAGATGACCTGCCTGAAGAACTGGCTGCCTGATTAACTATTAACTGCTCTCAATAGGATTAGATAATTAAGGACATTGATGACCATTAATTAGGAGGAGGGCACATTAATTTGTCACAGGATAGGACCCTTATGATGATTTATAGGTTAGTGCTACTTATAAATGTGAAGGGACAGAGAAAGAGAGAGAGCCATTAAGTTACCTTATCAAGTGGCCAGCTTAAAGAGGGCAGAGGGTCAAAGAAGGGCCAAAGTGGTCACTTTAAGGGTGAAGTCCCAAACACCAAAGCAGTGCCAAGCCAAATTGACCATCATTTGGTGATGAAGTTAAAAATATGCTAATTTATTGGTGGTAATTCTCTCTTTTTATGGTTTCAAGCAGTTAAGACAAGTGGCCTGCTTAAGAGCTTTTCATTTGAAAAGAGATTAAACAAAATGGTTTGTCAAGGCAGCTTGGGTGTTTTATGTCTTTGTTAAAAACAAAAAAACCAAACAAAAATAAAATAAAATAAAACCCTGCACCAACTATACTGATAACTATCATACCACCCAAATGCCATCTCTCTGAACATTTACTTCATTAATAAATATATCAACTCTAATTGCTTAACAGTTCCACATTCATTTGCTCTTTAGCAAGATTAAGCTGAAATAACTCTTTTGTATTGCTTTCTGTCATACTGCATGCAGAAAGGTCACAAAAATTCACATGTAGATACTTTACTTACAGCCACTAGTGTAACTCATACAATGTTTAATTCAACATTTAAAAAATTAAATGTAATCTTCCTAATACTAAAAACAAAACAAAACAAAACAAACAAAGAAACCTTCGTGAGGTAGGGATGAAACTTGTTATCCACACACAGTTGTGGGTAGCATTCATATTCCACACACAGTAAGCACATCTCATTAACATTTAATTAAATGCTTTTGAAAGCCTTGGAGATCCATGTCATATTTATCATTTGAGTTTGGAGCTTATATTAAAAGCTATTAAGGACTTTTTTTTTTTTTGCTGTACTTGAATAATATACAATTAGAATGGAGGAAAATATAACAAAAATTAGTCTATTCTAATAAAAGCACTTCATTTGTAGTCTGAAATGCATCTTAGATGTTTTACTGGAGTAAAAAGCAGGCATGAGAGGGACCATTTACCTTAAGACAGTAAACTAAAACATAAAAAGTCTCTTACCTCAATGGAGAACAGCTTCCTTTTTAACTTAAAAGCTAAGTCTTTGACATCCGATTCATCACAAGTCAAGTTATTAAGCCGAGGAATCTTCCGTATATGGATCAAACCTCATGGAAAGGAAATTAAAAGAGAAAGCCTTAAGTGCTGTCATCACAGGCATAAATTAAAGAGTCTTACAGCAGAATCTGTAAATTTACACACAAGCATCCTCCCTTTAAAACTGGAGCTGACTACCAGGAGCAGTGAAGCAAATGGTGTGATTATACTCAAGTAATCAAGCAGAATAAGATAAACAGAAATCCTTGAGCGAGGAAAACTAATTGCACTTTGGTACAGGAGTACAGATGTAAAGAGGGACCTTAATACTTGTCAAAACTATAGCCGGTCTGCGCGTGATTTTCTTTCCTATTTACAGTAAGCAAATATGGCTATCACCTTGCATGCTGTCCACAGCAGCACTGAGCGATCTTTATTTTATTAAATGCACCAGTAAGCAGCCAGCAAAACAAGGCTTTTGGGTTACTGATAATCTGCAAAACACTAATAAAAAATACTTCATTTTGCACACTGAACAAACTACTGAAGAAAACTAAATTTCAGCATGGGCTAGGATAAAACATTAGTCTGTCTGCCATCCGGAAACACTGATTTTTATGGCACGTTGGGTCCTTATGTGGCCATCAGAAGCTCTGCAGCAGCAGTAGGTAAGCTGTGAGCTCCGGGCCTCATCAGCAGAAACACTTGCTAATCTTTCCTGACAAGGCACTGGATGGCTTTTGTGTAGTTTCTGACTAAACTAGGGGTCAGTTCCCACAGATGAAGACATGGAAGGTTCTTCAGCACATCTTTTTGCCTGACTCAGCTCATATTTAAAAACACCATCTCAGGGATACTGATCCCTGAACTGGGATAAGAGACAGCAAATGTCAGATTTGAGTAGACAGACCTCATTTGCAGAACTGCTTGCCTGTGTGTGTGCCTGAGTGCTCACCAATGTGTACATGCACTCAGATTTAGAGTGTAAACCTTTAAGTACTTCACTGTTAAAACTTCTTCCAAGTAATTCATTAAAATAAAAATGTTTACTTTTCAAATATAATCGTGTAATAAATTACTTGAGGATGTCATAGGATGTTTTTTTGATCACATTCACCACCCACTTTTCACTAAGACAATAGCTCTTAATAGTTAAACATGTCATACTTACTTATTTAGTAAAATACACTTAATAAAAATAACGACAGCACATTTCTCATTTTTCTCTTATAGTATATGTGCTTGTTGGGTAATTATTAAGAGGCCTTATATAATTCATTAATTATTTTATTAACAGATCCTTATTATAAAAATGTTTACAAATAAAATTACTCATTACATATGAGGAATAATTTACTCATTCAGAGATTTCAGCACAAAGAATGACAGTTCAACACTTGAAATGTTTCAACCAAAATATCTTTAGAATATAAAACATAATTTCAGTAAGTTTAAAAATGAATGCTTATAAATGAATGTAACTTAGAACACACAAGTCAGAAGGTTCAAAGTCCACCATCAAAACCAAACTAAACCAAACTAGACCTGCAATGTAGTAAAATGTCCAATCAGTTCTTCTGGGTTTATATCAGAGGGACAGGTAACGTAGTCCCCTTTTAAAATGTCAGTGCTGGGGACTGAACCCAGGGCCTTATGCATATCGGGCAAATGCTCTACCACCGAGCTATTATCTCAGTCTAGAACACACAGTGTCACAGAGCTGGTTTTGTAAAATATAAACCTGTATATATCACAGAAGTGCTGTTACGCTGTTAGAGGTTGACTTTTCGCTATTCAAAATGCTTAGGACCAGAAATATTTCATATTTTGGATTTTAAAATTAGTGATATTTTAATATACTTACTTCAAAGATGGCTAACATACATGATTGATTTCATAGAAACTTTAAACCATCAGTACAATAATACTTCAGACCCTGGGTTTGACTACTTATACTTATCATAATCTGCAATCTTAGTTTGACAAATGCCTAAAACCGATATTAACCAGGATGGGGAAATAGTCACACTATGTTATAGAAGATGTTCTAATTAGACCAGAAGGATGCTGTCAGGTATATGAGAGGCTCTTAGGACATATTCTTTTCATGATAAAGATGATGCTTACCATGATAATCCTTATATAAAGGGTTGGTTTCCTTCTCTGAACCAATAAAAGATTCCAGACCAACTACTGTATCTGACAAATTTCTCACTCGTGCAGTAATTGCTTTATTCTGAAAAAACACAGAAACGGAATACTCATGTTATAATTAATTACAAAATAAAACATCTATACCATACCACTGTATCATCTTGAATACGAATCATAGTGAAGATAAGAAACAATAAGTAAAAGTTAAAGATACTAGTGTCTGAACAACAGATGAAACAGTCTCCTAGTTGAATGATCTGATCTGCATAGGCATTTTATGTTAATTTAAAAAGACGAAGGCAAGGCAAAACTTTGTAGAAAACATTAATTATTATTCATTTGGCCTAATGACGATGGCTATACTTTGTTTTTCCCATTACTTTACTCCCGTCCACTGGAGAACTTGGGAGATGAAGGGGATGAGAAGAATAGGCAGCATCTTATAAAGCATGGCAAGAGTCCCACTGCTGCCCATCAGCTGGGACTAGGTCTCAGCTTTGTGACATATTAGGAAAACAGGAAGGTCTGGCTAAGGGGCTGTAACATGGCTACTTCTGGAGTCTTCTATGTCCCTTTCTAGATGCTGCCATTTGGCTCTAGAGTAACAACAAAGGTAAAGAAGCTGTGACTAACACTGACCAATGGCCAATACCTTCCTGAACACAGCTTGAGATGAATCCAATAGTGCTAAGTAGAACAGCTTGGAAAATGTCCTGGTGCTGGATTTAAACAATACATTAACATGGTTCTAAGCATAGAATACCCAGTTGCTAAATACTAATGATCCAAAAACAACCAGCATTCATGGCCAGAAAAGTAAAATCACTGACTAGCCAGTTGTTTTTCCAATTATTTTTCTTCACGGAAATTCAGTATTCTTTGTAGGGTGATTCCTAATAGGGTGATAAGTCTGAAAACTTTAATTATGTAACACAACGCAGCAGGACATTTTTGTTCCACCGATACAGAGTTGTTGAAATAAATCAGTCGTTGTGAAAAACTGAAACTCATTTTATATCCTAGTAACATCCAGCTGTCTATAAACTAATTTTAGAAGAAAAGGATGGGGACATACATAAGGCGGTCAAGAAAACTGGTCTGTTTGGTGCTGTGTCTTCTGTTAGAGGAGAGATCACAAGGATAGAAAAGCTTAATGATGGCTGCAGGGCTGAGTGCTGTTTCTGTTTCTTAAGTGCCTTTGTGATGACTGATAAAGATGGAAAGTAAGCAGGGTACGTTGATACTATATTATTCAAAGGGAAATGCACAGTAGTCTGGGTTGCCAAATATTCTGCTGAAATGGCTGTTTAGCTCACCCTTCGGCAGTGTTTGAAGTTCTTCCATAGGAGGAGTGCATGTTGCAAGGAGGGCATTTCAACCTCTAATCTGTGGTCTCGAAAGGAGAGAGTGTAAACAGTTTTTCTTATCTTTAAAAAATTTTGAATTATGTGGACACATTATAAAATACATTAAAAATTTGCAAATGGCTATTTTTCCTAAGGCAATTTTTCACTCAATGGTGAGAAAATAATCCAGATTGATTCCTTACTTTCAGTGCTGTGCCACAGGGGATGGTACTACTCCAGAAATAACAGGGGCTTCAGAGGCCAGAAACATGTTCCTCTCAATATTTCTTTAGCCAAAGACCATTATATCAAACTCATCCAGGTTGGGTTTCAGCCAGTTATTCTTCACCCAAACAAAAATGTCTGCCAGACATTCCAACAGCTGGGAGACAGTTCACAATGAGTCAAGTTGAAAATGATTCATTGTGCTGGGTACTGAACAATGTTGGGATGGGGGTGGGTGGGGCTGGGTTGGTAGTAAAGGGTGAGAACAAGTGGGAGAGGAAGAAAAGCCATGTAGTTACCCTATCAAGAAGAATCTTGGATAATAACCAGCAGGCTCCTATGATTTCAATTTTAGTATAAATTCAACTGAGAAGAGTACTCATGTCACGGACCTTCAGATGAGCAAGCACTTATCAAGGCTACTGCCAGTATTTCTTAATCAAAAAGGTCAGATTTACTTTTATCTATAAATAAAAGTCAGAGTCTTTGTGTGTAAATCTAGGTTTGTTAGAATTCACCTACTCAAGATTTCAGCCATATCAACTTGAGTCTTCTCAGTTATATAATAGGTAGAAGTGTAAAGTTATAGATGGACTGACTGCCATTCTAATTCTAACAGTAAAGAAGAACCATGCATTTAAATGTCTAACCTGGCACTGTTGTTTCCTTTTTTCATTTAATCCTAAAGTTAAGTAATAAGCCATTAAAAGAATGTAGTATATATATCAATCTTTTTAAAACAGCCTATAAGTGATAAATTAATTATAATCACCGAAGAAAACTAAAAAAGTCTAAATGTAAGACAGAATGTACAGCCTTATTTCAAAATTTCTCATAAATGTACTCACTTATTCATGTATTTTACTTGTGGTATTTCTAAGCTCTATGTTTTTATCTGTTATTAATTGTGAATTAAAAAAATCTATCTGAAAAGGTTTAATGGAACTTTAGGCCAAGAATAAACATTTAATTATATTGCTACCATAAAAGAATCTGCATTTAACAGTAACAGCTATTCTGCAAAAGTTGGTACAGTATAGCTAACCAGACTAACCCATAAAAGTTATAAAATAACTGAAAACATTTATAGAAAGAGTAATAGAAAGTTATAAAAGAATAACGTCTAAATTTCTGACTGAGATAATATTTTTATTATTTTTATTATAAACATTGTGTTTCTAGGTACTTGTAGGAATATAAAAGATATGTGGGCATGAAAAGGCAATTCTCTTTTTAAAAAAGATGTGATTGTGTTATGTTCAAGATTCTTTTATAGTATGCAATATTTCCTTAGAGCCATGCTTATGACAAGATCCTTCAAGTCACCGTATTGTATTAATATTAAATGGACTTTTAAATAAGGGTAGGTGAATTTATATAAGAGAACAAAAAATTAGTGCATTTAGAAAACCCTTTGTAAGCATATAATATTCACAATTCAGTTTGCCAGGAATGTACTGTATGTGAAAATCATCATAATATGGCCAGTGGTGCTCAGAAATCTTTAGCAGACCAGAGTGCAGATCTTGTACATTCTTATCCTCCCTGACTCTAAGCAGTTTTATCCATTAGCAAAGATGTGAAACTTCTTGGTCTTTAATTGAAAATGAAGATGTGATAGAAACTATGCTTCAAGTCCTAGGACAGATATCTGAATACCATTTCTATTTTAATTTTGAAATTGCTAAATTAAAAGTTTCAGCTGAGGAATATTTAAACAAGAACTTAGTCATGGTGACTAAATTTATGGTTATAGTGCACATGTGCCGTAATGACATCACCCAACTATGTACAATGATATTGCTACCCCTCCTCCTTGCCCATCTGGATAGGAGATCTAGGATGACTCAAAAATCCTTCTTATACTAGACAAATCTCCCTTTGCTCCTGGGTGAAAGTTGTCAGTTCTGGAAAGTAGCCAAGACATAACTAGGAGGGAAGCCAGAGAGAAGAGAACTGTTGTCTAGGAGTTTTAAGAGTTTGCTGGCACTCTCAGATGGCATTTTCCTAAGTTGCAGAAAGGGCCCTTAAATATTTCTGTTCGAGTGTAATTTCTTAATTATTTAAACTTGTGCACATCAGATGCCGCTGCAAATAAACAAGGCAAACCAGACTACCCAGTTGTCAGCCATTTCATTTTCATTTAGATTCACCACAACCTGCTGAGCTTTTGCTTTGACTGTTTGTTTGCTTTTAAAATATGGAAGCATATTTTTATTTAGGATATGTCATATCCATTAAAGGAATTTTAAATTCTCAATGACTGTCACTTCCTTTCAATTCAAAGCTTATAAAGATAAAGTAGGATTTTAAGATAAAAAATTCAACTCCTGTCATATAAAGCTTTAACAATTGTTCTAACACAAGATCTTAGCTATTAGTTAGCACCAACAAGTAACAAGGACGCATTAAACCCTGAACATTTCCTTACTTTCATGACACTAATTACCACAACAATATAAAGGATGCAATTTGCACCAGCACAGAATAAATTTCTAGTAAATATTTTAACTCAAGGATTAAAAAGTTAATTAATCATCATTTTAATTTCCAAGTTACTTCAGAGAAATAAACCAATTGACATAAAGCATACAAATACTGTCTCAAAAATAAACTCTTGGGTTGCTCCATTTATAAGAATATGAAAGAAGAGCTGTCATTTGAGGACAGCATGACCATCAGAGCTGGAAAAGCACAGTTCCAGTTGAAGAGGAGGAAACAGTTAAGCTCCTTGCAGGTTGACTCATACATGGTAGGTGGTGTACATGTGGGATTCACAGTCAAGCTTGGGACACTGAACCTTTTTTGAAAAATGTACATATTTCTGTTATGAAATCCAATACTAAAGTTGGATAAGGAAAAAATGTAGGGCTATTTGAGGAAGAATACTTTTCTTATTTCTCATGTGCTCAACTGTATTAAAATGAATACTATAAAACAATGATTTTGATAATTCTGTTCATTATTTTGCCTTAATAAAGAATGTAATTTATCTGACAAAATTATACCAATAGACTTACAATGTCTATTAATCATTGCAGATTTAATCCTTTCATTGAAGATCACAATTTATTTTAGAATATAAACTTTTTTGTAAACAAGGTAATTTAAATGGAACCTATCTCTTGGTATCATCACAGTATAACATTTATACAAGGAAACAGTAAAACAAACATTTTTTCCCTTAAAGCTTAGACATTTCACAAAGGAGGTAAAGGCAAATGTATTTCAGCTTAAAAAAGAAAGAAGCTGTTGATTGTTTAAATTTTACTAGGAATAGGCAATGAAACCAGGTATTTTTGTGAGTTTGATCTGATCAACTATGTGATCTAACTTTGATAAGAAAAGGGCGGTTCTTGATTTGCTTTAAAGCATGATTTTAGAAAACCCTTTGTTTATCCTGACAGTAGATGTTTGCATGGGCTTCACCACTGTTCAGCCAATATTCTCTAAGACATTAACAGAACATGTTCTGAAGGCTTTCAGAAATAGGGTGCAGAAAATATGATAA